TAACCACTAAAACTATTTATTAGCCATCACTATGCTAATTTTCGATTCATATAATTTTTAATTAATTAAAAACTTTCACTTAGTGTCACCAACTTTCACCATTAACCCTTATAATGAAAACCAAACTTTAATTTAAATCTTATTGGGCTCAAATAGTAAAATTATAAATAAATCAATAGACTTAAATCATTGAGGAGTAAAACCCAACCTCTTTAGGTTTGGCTTTTTTCCTAAAACTCCATTTTTCATCCAATTACCCACTCAAAACATTAGGGTATCATGTAGAAACTCAAAACAACCTCCTAAGAACCCAAGGAAACTAAAGTTTACAAGAATAAAGCCTTTTGGATCAAACTTTAGAAATTTTCTCTTCTAAAATTGAAGAAAACAAAGAAGGAGGGAAGAGGATTGAAGTAGGGAGTTTACTTATCATGTAACCAAGCTCGCAACGCCTGCAAAGCTTCCTGGATCCAAACCTCACTCCCTCTCTTCCTCCTCTCTTCTTCCTCTCATTCTCTCGTCCTTTCATTTCTTTCCTTTGTTCTTTATTCTATTTTTGTTTCTGCATTCATTTTTTCCTTTTTAAAACTGATTTAAACAATTTGAAAAAAATTACAAGAAAAGGCCCAACATTTTTATTATAGCACAAAAGCCCGGGTAAACTTTGGTAATTTTTTTATAATTAAGAATAAAATAAAACTAAACTTTTGCTGAGTAAAATTTGAACTCAGGGCCTCTATCATTCTATTCTTAATTTTAATTTAATTTTAAATATTTCATTATTTATTATTATTATTTTTTAAATTCGAGTCTTAAAATTTCAAGATGTTACAAGAAGCTATAGCTGAGTTCAAGCTACTTCTTCAATGTAACTAGACAATGGAATAGGGCTATATTCCATGTGATTTGAATTCTAAGGTTGATTGTTTTGTTAAGAGAGCTTTGTCTTGTAGGAAAGGCTAGCACCTAAGAGGGGGGTGAATTGGGTGACACTTAAAAACTTTTGAAAACATAAAAGAGTGAAATGATTTAGTTTGAAGGAAGAGGATAAGACACACAAGATTTATACTGGTTCAGGCCTAAATTTGGCTTACATCCAGTTCTCAAAATCATACTTGAGATTTTCAACTAAATTCAAAAGTTTTAATAGGTGCTTGCCACTACAGTAAAACTTACAAGACTTAATTTGTCTTGAATCAATCAACAAACCTTGCTACAATCCAACAAGTTATTACAAACACTTAAAAAATACCTTTTCAAGATTTTCAATGAAGAATATAAACTTTCACAGAAAACTCTCTTAAAGAATAGATGAAATTATAGTTGAAATCCTATAAACTTATGAGAACTTTTTCACAATTCTTTTCGAGAATAATGAACAAATGTAAGATACTAAAGCACAATTTGAAAGCTTTTTGAATATTTAGATAGAGATATGTTCGTACAAGAATCAACAGTTCTCTTTCAGACATGAATTGTATTACATGTATAGTTTTGGTAGTTGTAAGATCGTTAGAACAATGTTTATATTGGTTGGTGCAATTTCTTACAAGTGATCTGCTGAATCACGCTTGAAATTGGTCTCAACTTGTTCCACTTATGTGTATGTGACAAATCATGCATGAACCTCATAATCTCTCACATATGGTTTTGCATCTCTAAATATGTACTTAGTTCTGTGTGCTGGAACTTACATGCAAACTTTCAGCTCTCACACGTGGTTTAGCTTGTAGAAGGCCAACAATAGTTATGTGTGACATATCTTGCATTTGCTCTCATGCATGAAATAGCTTACAAAAAGTGAAGCTCATATCTATGTGACAAAACTTGCGTGGAATCTCTTTGCTTTCACGAGTGAAAATGGCTGATAGAATGGCAAAGCCAATTCTTGTGAACAAAACTTATGTGAAAGCAGAAAGCCATCACTCATGAAATAACCATCTCTAGACTTAGTTCATTCGAGAGGACAAATCACACGTGGATCACATCTTTATTCACGCGTGAAATAGTAGGCAGCAGGACTCAAACTAGTATAGGTACATTTCACACGTGAAAATACAATGCACTCAAGCAAGAATATGTATGATCAAGAGATATGAATACATGAATCAAGGATCATACATTTGAATAAAGTGAACTCAACTTGAGATGACTTAAGACTAAATATAGCGATATGTAATTGTGTGATTGGTGACAAATCACGAGTGGCTACCATTAGTTTTCACGTGTGAAATAGCCTTTGACACAATGTAATGAAACACAATTGCTCAAACTTGCATAGATACTAGTGACTCTCACACGTGATTTTGCATATAAAAGCGAAGCTTAAGGCATCACATAATATAAGTAATAAATCATGCGTGAATTACTTCTTGACTCTTACATGATCCATCAGTTAGTGTGCCCAACATGCTGATTCTTGTGAGCATCCAAGCAGAATCACGCTTGATTTTGCAGCCCACATTGAAATCAACCGCAATGATTTTTAACATGCTAGAAAGACATCACTTGCCAGCTTGAATATACTTAGATAAGTCTTAATGCATATAATTGAGACATATGATGCATTCATTTTAATGATTATGAAAAGTGATTAAGCTCTCAAAGTTTTTATATTAAATCTAAGAGAATTTAATTGACTCATCCTAAAGTTATTGATTTTTTTTTATTCTTCATGCAGTTGAGATTTTATTTTCATCCATAATTATTTATATCTACATATATAATAAATACCTCTTTTCTTGATTTTGTAATCATCAAAACATATAATCCAACATGTCTCTCTCATCCAGATTTCATCCTTTTGCTACGCATTTGCTTGAGTTTCTTCTTGATTCGAATGTATTAGTTTTTTTTGTTGTTGTTTTATTTTTTTTTCCCTCTTTTATGAAAAAATATTTAACTACATGGCACTAGAATATAACTAGCTACATTTTCAAGCCAAAATAAAAAAAAAAAGATATAACTTGATACATCCACCATTGCGTTCTACAAATTTATGACTTGTAAATAATGTAATTTATTGTACTCTTTATATTTAAATTGATAATTGTCTTTAAATAATTGCATGAGTTTAATCTAGCTTTGATAATCAATTAAATGTGAGCCCCATACATTGTACAGAGTTTATAATTCAATAATACTACAACTTGCTGAAATTAGATATTAATACACTAATACACACATGTTTTGTAATGTATTAATCAATGTACACAACGAATTGTACAATACAAGTCAAATTCATCGTTTATGAATTTTATGTTGTTGAGATATTGATACAGCAGGAAGTATATTATTAATATATATTCATGAATCTTTAAGCAAAAAGAAAAAATAATAATAATAACTCAACTTTCAAGCTCGTGTAACGTACTCCACTCATGTATTATATTTCATATTTTAAAGATGTTTTTTAATTAAAATTGTGAATAGCATTAAAGTTAATTAACTGGAGCACTAAATGATTATATATACATCACTCAACAGGGATTTAAGTATAAGTTTATCACATTATAAAAAATTAGTCCATTCTTTCATACTTAACCCATTAATAAAGTTTTTATAGGCTACTCAAATATTTTATTTTTATTTCTCTTTAGTAGGAATAAAGTTAGAATATTTTTAAATTTTATTATACATTTAACAAGTTGACTACCCTTTCTTGATCACGGTAATGTTGTTAAATTGAAGGTTTGAAAGTAACATATAACGGAAATAGCAAGAAAATATATTATTCCTTCTAAACTATTCCTTCTATTTTATATTATAAGATACTGTTAGATAAAATCTTACATATTAATAAACTTTATTGAATAGATGTAACAATCTTATGTTTTCAAATAAACAAAAATATAAACTTCTAAAAATATTATTCATTTAATACCTTAAATATACACTTAATTAGTATTAAATAGAGAGAGAGAAAAATGATAACATTGAAATAAATATATTTAATAAAATCTTAATATTCTCATAGTGTCTTATATTTTAGAAAGAAAAATTTCTCTTATAAGTGTCTTATAATTTAGAATGGAAGAAATATAATATAAATTTTTTAAAAGATTTACTTGATACAAAATATAGGGTATTACTGCATTAGGTAAATGTTATATATATATATATATATATATTCAATTATATTCTTACTTTATTGAGTAATTAATTATGATATTTTGACTAAGTTAAATGTTATATTTATTACGCTAAAAAATATCATTAAAAAGTAATGAAAATTTTTAAAAAATTAAGATTTAACTATTTTTTTGAGTAATCATAAAGTAATTAACAAAGAGTTACTATCTATCTAAGAAATTTTATAAGGAGTAGGATACTAAAAATACAAAGTTTTTTTAATATTTTTAGGTGAAATTATTCTTTTTTTAAAAAAAATTCCTTTATTTGTATTTATTTAATAGTGGAATAATCTATTACATAATAATAAATATAAAAAATAATATTAATTTAAAAATAAATAATTATTTTATTAAAAAATGAGATTGAGTTAAAAATATTATTTTTTTTAAATAGAGCAAGTATTATATTGAGGAGGAGGTACTCCCTTGATTTTTATTTGTAGGAAAAGTTATCATTTTTTATTCATTTTTTTATATAAATAAAATCACATATTTTAATAAGTATTTATATATATTTTTTAAACACCTTTCATAATTTATATCAATAAAAAATAATTAATACATATTTATGTTGATAAATATAAAATATTTTAATTTATTTTTTATCTTCAAATATAATTATTATAGTAAATTAATTTTTTTAAATTATGTAATATATTTTTTTAATACATATAAAAATGGAAAGGGTATATTTTTATTTTATTTTTTCTCCTGATGAGAAGTGCTTCTCAAATGAGAGAAGTAGAAAACAAACAAATAGTTCAGTTTGAAATGGTTCTATTTCTGACACGCCAGTGAAAGAGTGTACGGTGGTTGACAAGTGTTCACTCTAACGTGAAGTTGCTTGCCACAACCTCTGTGCTCTCTGCTTCAAAACTGCCAATTACGAGCGCCCAGGTAGCTGCAATTACTTCTTCTCCCTTCGGCTTTGGGCTGTGCTCCTCACCCTCCGATGTCAGCCTTCGGTTCTCCGATCACTGTCGATGGTGGGAATGATTCAGATAGTCACTTCGACGACCCCGACGCCGATGCCATTACGTCCGATAAGCCTGATAAGAATCGGAAAGGTTTCTTCGTTGATAATTTTCTAGTGATTTTCGTTCATGATTCCTCTTTAAAATATTCGTTCTTTACTTCGTTTTTCTTGGTTATATTCTTTACTCACCGTTCTGATCATTTTCTTGCATTATAATTGCACTTCAGTAGAGATATGTGCTTGAAGTGTAAAGGGTAGAAAGGAGTACAAGGCGTGAGTTATTTAGAAAGTAGAATTAGTTTGCATTACATCAGAGATTGGGGAGTTCTATGCGATATATATGTTATTGTTTTTCATTCTCAGAATCAATCAGATTAGTTGTATTAGACTTCGCTCTTAGAAGGAGATGCTAGAAAGTGGTCGAACTTGGTAATTATCTTGATTCTTTTCACATTTCAAATCTACAAAATCAATGTGCAAAGCAATTCTCGACTAGGCAGGTAAACACCAGAGTCAATTAAAATCCTTATTCCACGAACTCACTTTTGAGTTTTGAGGTGGTAGAAAGCTAGCAGGGATGAAATCCATGAATGGTGGACGATTGATTGGAGAACTAACAGCAGAAGCAAGTCAAACTAAAGTCAGAACCAGCATCAGCGAAATTATGAGGTTGACAGGATTTTCATCGAAAGTTAACTTGCATTCCTGCAGCTGGGCTGAGCCTGAAGTTTAAGTTTATCAATCACTTAATCCTTCAGAGAAATTTCTGAATTTTCTTTTTTGCTTTCTGGATAATGCTTTCTTCTTGCTTACACTCTCAAGCTTCCCAAGTCTTTCGCTGTAGGGCAATATAGAGAATCCACCTGGATAACATTAGCATCTTCTTCCATATCTAATGGGTTATTAGGGACTTGACTCTCGGACTCTTGGTGTTTGAGAGAAACATTGAATGGGCGCTTTCTGTATTGCCTAAATTCTAATAGATCCATTTCTCCCATTTTCCCTACTATAATTGTTTTGATCATGAAGTTATTACAAATATTGTGTTGAAGTTACTTTACTATTTTAGGAAAATAATGTGAACTACTGGCAACAAGATTTTGGCTATTAAATTGGTTCCACTTGATTTTTTTTAGATCAACACTAGAAGAAAAGTGGCCTCAGTTTTAACAAACTTTGTTCTAGATCAATCCAACTAGAACATTGTCATCATATGAGTCATAATGTGAATGTTCATTTCTGTTGCTAAAATAGTCGCCAGAAAAAAAAAAAGGAGTAATATTTCCTTCCAAATGGTACTGATCTTGATCTTGATCTTGATCTCCAACTCTTATTTACACAATTAAGAGTAGAATCCTTCAAGATTTATGTCCATATTGTTTATTCCTCCTAGCCTCTAACAATAATAGGGGCATAAATGCACTCTTAAAAAAACCAAACTAGTGAGAATTCATTGCCTGTTATAATGTTAATGCTAGGTCGTTGCCCGTAAGTAACGCGCTGCATGGCTTGAGTACAGTGATAAGTGAGTTAGAGCCGCTGCATCGGCGCCCGGATGTAGTGTTAAATGAGTAAGGGCTACCGCGTCATTCTGGACGCACGCGGCTAAAGAAGTTAGTCCATAAGAGCAAAATTAGATTTGGTACTTGGAATGTTGGGACATTAAATTGTAAATCTGTAGAGGTTGTAGGAGTTATGATTCAAAGGAAAATCAATATCCTTTGCTTGCAAGAAACAAAATGGCGTGGAGAAGGAGCTAAGGATATTCAAGGTTTCAAACTTTGGTATACAGGAAAAGTAAGTGCACGCAATGGAGTAGGCATCATTACAGATAATGAGTGGAAGAAGAACGTTGTAGAAGTTAGCAGAATTGGAGACAGTGAGAATTCATTGCACGGACTTCTAAATTATTGCCCACAGATCTTATTTTCAGTCCCATACTCATTTTCTCTACAATGAGAAGGCTTTTCTTGATAAACTAATTTGGAAGCCTGAAGCTCCTTCCAAGGTTAATCCCTTAATTTGGATAGCAATATTAAATAAGATTAATATAAAAAATTTTACTCGTTTTCAGGCAGCCAGGCGCAATGTTACTCTTTCTATTGACATCTATGTAACTCATAAATCTGATTCTAAAGCTTTCTCCCATTTATATTGACATTGCCCAGCAGTGACATGCCTTTGGAATAATTACTTGAAGTTTTGGATGAACATCTGAAACTTTGTCCAATTTATCTTTACATTGTCCAGCAGTGACTTCCACGTACCTTTGGAATACCTTATTTGGTATTTTGGATGAACATTGGGTAAATCCCAGTACACTGGAGCAGTTTCTCCTGATTCATCTCAAAGGTTTTTGCTACAAGAAAGAGAGCACAATTGTGTGGGGCCATGTGCACCTTATGTAAGATATTATATCTTCTGCTGGATTATGTGCCACGTCTGCTCTCAGCTGCCTTGAATTGGTATTCCTCTATAACACGTGTTTTATTCTATGTTCAATATTCCATTATTATCTTGGAGGTACCATGATTCTGTTGTTGCATGTCCTGATTTTGAGATGCTTATTTCCTTTTATATATTTATTGAGATTTGTTTTCTTTTTTCCCTTTTAAAAAAAAGATTTGAGTTCAGCCATGAGGTCTGTGGGGCAAGAAGGGAACTTGATATCAGTTTCACCTGCAATAGGAAACTTTGAAGTGAAATCACCATCTAATTTTCCTTTTGTGGAAGGGAATGCAGCCATCACTAAAGTTTCTGTTCCTTCATATCATGCACCTACAATTAGAAAAAAAGATATTCAACTGGAACGTAGACTTTCAAGTAGTCCGGAGTCAAGAAAAAATCTGGATTTGGAAGATGACATAACTCAAGGATTAGAAGCAGATATTGAAAATGCTGGATCCCTTTTAAAGCGGAAAACATTTGGAGAATATAGTGAACCAAGTTGCAATTACACTTCATATTTACATGGTGCTAATAATGATATAAGTTGTGGGACGTCCAAGTCATTTACAGATTTTGGAAAAGATGGGACTATTGACCTGCAGAGCGATTGCTTTGTTGAGAAGGCTAGTGGTGATCGAAATCATGTAAAGCATCTTAGGAAGTTGAACATGCAATCAGGGGATGCTATGAACGCAATGACATCAAGGTTTGGTCATTCTCATTTATTATGTTAAATTACGTATGCTCATTATTGTGTGACCACAGAACATTTTACATAGCATCAATAAGATCAATTAGGGCCTGTTTGTTTTCTGTTTTTTGTTTTTGAAAACAAAATTTAAAACTTGTTTGGATAAGTGTTTTTGATTTAATTGTTACAACTTTAAGTTGTTTTCATTTTATTTTTCTTGTTTTTAAAATACACTATTTTTTGATTATTGGAAATCATAGTTACCTTGATTAATGTTTATTATAAATTACTACCATTAATTGCCTATAACTATAACTATCAATTTATTTTTTAATTTTAAAATTGTTTTTAAATTAACATAACCAAATGGATTTTCATGTTGTTTTGTTTTGAAAAATGATTCTGAAAACTATATTACAAAACTATTTTTAAAAACAAAAAATGAGAACAGGAACCAAATAGGCCCTTAGTTTCTGATTCTTAGGTTTTCCAGGCATCCTTCTCCTGACTTGAGGACCAGAGATCTGTCTCCCTGTGCTGAGATTAAACTTGGAAACAAGCGTCATGCAATCCAATGTGCTTTTTTTGCCAAAGGTTGGTGCATCAGGGGTGATTCATGTAGCTTTCTTCATATAAAAGATCCTGTAAATAAATCAGGCCAGCAGATTGAAGGAGAATTGGTTGCTCAAAATTGGAAGAGAGAAGTGCAACCAGAGGAAGGTACATGATATACTCATACAGTAAGGCTGTCCAATAGCCTGCTCTTTGAACATCTTTCTAATGAAAAGATTGTCCTGTAACAGATATTGGAGATGATTTTAAGAGATCACTGATGCCTTGTACTCAAGTTCCGTTGCCTGCTACACAAGAAAGAACATCTCTGTATTCATCTGAATTTTACTCAAATGCAATCATCCAGAAAGTGTGCCCAAGCTGGGATCTAGATAAAAGTTGGCCTGTCTCTTCTTTCCCTTCCTACCCAGCCCATACAGAGGGAATGACTGCCACCCGGGGACTAGATATGCATTACGGATATACATCCGTAGTTGAGAGTCATTCACCTAATTTAAAATTCTCTTCATATGAATGGGAGCCATCTGTTCATTTTGAACCTTCTGTTTCTTCTGGTATGTGGTCAGTAGAAGATCAAAAAGACCCTTTTCATGGTAGTTTAGAGATACTCAATATAGGGGATGAATCCTTGAAAGCTTTCAATTTATCTCAAAGGTCATCCATTCAGAGTTCATATCAGGTGCCAAAAAATGGTGACTCCGCTGAAGCTGCAAGTCAGGTATTAGATCTTCGTGATGCCAAAAGTTCTGTTTCTTCTCATTATAGATGTAAACAGAATGAGCCTGAGAAGAGTTATGTTCCTCATGGAAAAAGTATTCTTGCAACTGAGACTGATAGAATAGCTCGAAGTTACCTAAATCGCCAATTTGGAAGGTTGGACATGGGACTAAATTTTACCTTTGAAGATGTTATAAATATAGAAAAAGAACAAATTGAGCATGATGCTAGACTTCAAGTTGAAGTAACACAGTACGAAAAACAAAAAGTAGATAGGGATAAGAAAAACAGTGAAATGGATAATAATTTTCAGAAGGATGATGGCGTGCAGATAGAAATGGCTCTGAGAAATTTTCGCTTTGCACTTGCTGATCATGTGAAAAAGATTCTAAGACCACTTTGGCATGAGGGTCATCTCAGCAAGGATGCGCATATCGTGATTGTTAAAAAATCAGTTGACAAGATTGTTGGCTCCTTACAGCCTCAGCAAATTCCTCCAAATGAGGATTCTGTCAAGAAGTACATTTCTTTTTGTCATGTGAAAGTAGTAAATCTGGTCAAAGTAAGTGTCTTTTTTCTTTAAATGGCACGGTCGATAAGATGTGAATCAACAGCACTTTGATTTACTTCATTTGACAACCATTTTTTATTATCTGCAGGAATATACCGGTATATATGGCAAGGTTTGATAAGGTCAATACTTATGTTGTGCAGATTGCTAGCAGTATGTGAGATCCAAATATATGGAAACTTTTATATCATGGACCGGAAAAAAAAAAAAAAGAACATTCATCTGTGGTCATGTGTATGATAGTCTAGTTTGTAAGGAATGTTGAATGCTCTCCTTCAAGATCTTGCTCAGTTTTGCTTGTTCCATTATGGAGTAACCTCGCAGGGATTGGATAATTCTGTTAATGTTGTATAAGTTAGATGATAGATTTAGAATACTTTCATCCAGTTATGTAGTGACTTCTTGATTCTCTAGCATATGAATAGAATGCTAATCAACTTTTCGAGACATGTGGTATTTATACTTTATCTTGGTCTTCAAATATCCAAAATATGTGATGAAAACCATATCGGTAGTTTGTTACATATCTTATGATGAAGCGTTTCAAAATGCATGATATATTACAGTAAAGTAATCATATCTCAGGCTCGTTTTCTTGAGTTTTTAAACGGTACATCTTAGTCCTTTCAGTTTTCAATGATTTATCTGGGAGTTCATGTTACTTGTAATTTGAAATGCTACCATTAACATGTTGGAAGGTGATAGAGGGATCTTTGTGTCATCATAGCAGATTGTCTTTGATCATTCGATAGGACTGATCTGGCTTTCGTGGGTTTGGGTGAAATTTTGATATACTACATGAAATTTAATCAGCTAACTAACCTGGCTTTCTGCCTTAAGCATTGGACTTGACCTAAGTCAGTTTAAATACAGTAAAGGACATTTGCAATTTGTTAAGTTGTTAGTATTAATTATTCTTTCATAGTCTACATTTTAGTCTTATTTCTGCAAAACAAAGCTGAGCTTAGCAGACTAGACCATGGTGCTCTTCTCCCATATTGAGTATAGATGTATGAGATCAATCCTGTAATGTTTCTTGTATGGATGGAGAAGAAAGAAGATAGATATGGATATACTGAAAAGTAAGAATAGTATCATTTAGTTTCAGTATTTCCATCTTCGTGAGAAATTTCCAGGGATTAACTATGAAGTCTATAAACATAGAATATAAGAAAATGTTATTTTAAGAACCGATTATTTCATTTATTCCTAGAGTTTGGGTGGCATGGTTATAAATCTGAAGTGTTGATTGCTTTTCCTAAACATAGATTTTGTTATCTACCGCAAGATTTAATTAAATTTGAACTACTGAGAGTCAGATCAAATGAAACAAACGAAATTGGAAACAAGCCATAAAATAAACATATAATCAGAAAATCAATCCTCAGAATTTAACATCCATCTCTCTCTCGCCCTCTCTCATACAGATTTTTGTGACTAATACAATACCCATGTACATGAAGCCTTATTTCCGATCATTTATATTGATAAAACTTCTAGGCAAGAAAAGTTGAATATTTTATGACACAAAGGTCTGGAAAGGAAGAGAAATGAATGCATATATAGGGAATCTATAAACCTTCGTGTCAGTGAACTTTGACTTTTGGCTTAAAGGCACGACATTCCCTGCATGGTGACACCAGAGACTTGAAAAACTTCCCACCAGAAGAAGACTTGCTTCTAGGTTTTCTTCCTTTCTCAACCCCAGCAAATTTCCTTGTATTCCCAGAACCTACTCTCTTGACATTGCCATGATTATGAGCTGATAGTAAAGAACTCAGGGATGAAGTGTGATGATGAAGATCTGTGTGATCTGATTGGAATGGAATGGCTTGTGGTTGAAGTTGCTCAATGGAAATAATCAGATCATTAGCAGGTTTTGGTTTAGTCTTCTTCACTGAGTTTTCTGATGCTGCAGATTTTGGGATTGGTTTAGTCACAATAAACTCAAATTCTGGGCTCTGATTGGCCGTCTGATTCTGATCTTGGTGTTTGGACTGGTTTAGAGGAAGAGAAGGCGATTTGGATTGATGGTCTTGAATGGAGACAAGGCCACTGAAAGAGAGTGAGTCTGGTGAAATATTTTCAGCTGCAAGAAAATAATTTGAAGGAGGCTTGTTTGCATGGGAGGTTCCCATGGCTTGAGAGGTTTGTGAACAGAGTTGTTATGTGGGTGGAAACTTTTATATGTAGAAAGTGGCTGTAAGTTGAGATCACAAAGCATATCTTTCGGTCTTTTTGTTTTGTCCAAAAGATCCTTTTTTTTACTTATACTTTTTTTGCCGAATTAAAGACGTTCCTTTTTTTAATTTTTTCCCCTTTACTTTTGATTATTTTTAATCTAGCCAGTTTCTTTTAATACAAGTTACTTTTGAAAATTGAGAAAGAGGCATATTTGAAATAAAATAAACTTTTGTAAAATGACATTTATTTAGAACTGTAAAATCTTTTTAGAATATCACTTACTCCCTCGGTCCTTCTTGTCAGTTATATTTTAGAAGATTTTTTCACTCCTTTATATAAGTCACTTTTTTATGCTTTTTATAATTTTTGATGTGCAATTCTGAAATTACTCTCTAACAAATTCTAAAAAAAGTATATTCAATTCTCAAGAAAATTCTTTCTACATATCAAATAATTTTTTTAAAATTTAAGGACAAAATTGAAAAATGATTTATTTTTAAAATTTTTTTATTATTCTAACTAACAACAACAAACCTTTATCCCATTGAGTGAGGTTGGCTATATGGATTGCAAGACGCCATTATACTCTATCATTTATCAAACTTTTAAAAATATTATTAATTAAGAAATCGGGTTCAACAACTTCTAATAGTGTTCTTTTAGGCCTTCCCTCTTAAGCCTTCCTCTACCTCTTTTAACAGGGCTCAAAGTTATATATTCTACTTTTTTCACTGGTGCCTCCTACGATTTTTTTTGTACATGTTCAAATCATTTCAAATGATTTTCTATCATTTTTTCTTCAATAGGTGCTACCCTCACTTTTTCCCGTATGTGCTCATTTTGAATTTTATCCTTACATGTATGTCTGCACATCCATCATAACATTTTCATCTCTGCTACTCCAACTTTATGTTTTTACTGTCCCGTTAGAGCCTAGCATTTACTATTATATAATATAGCCAGTCTGATAATAGTACGATAAAACTTTCCTTTAAGTTTGATAACAGTACGAATTTTATTATTCTAATTACCACACATTGATTTTGGTGAGTTAGTTATATGTGGCTTCTAAATATAACAAGAGATAATATATTAATAATTGAATAGAGTAGGTATAAAATTTTTTTAGCAATAATCTTTTTAAATATACAAGATTTGAACTTGAGACTTTGATAACAAATGTTGAACACCCTTTTTTTTTTCTTTTACTTTTGATTCTTTTATATTAGGTTGGACAATTTTCACGGGGGTTTAATTTTATGTTTTTTTTCATTTTAAAAGAAGTAAAGTATAGAATAAAATAATTTTTTAACTTACATGTCATCTTGAAAAATGATTATAATTTCTTTAAAAAAGATTGAATTTGAATGATGCGCAACAATAATATGAATATGATCTGAAATAGATTTGTCTCATGCATATTTTTCTTGCATGATGATCACCAAATCTAGATTTGAGAAACATTAATACTTATTACACAATAATTAAATGTTTAATGCGGTGCATTTAAGATTCTCACATTCCAAATTCCTTTCTTCTTGCTTTTTTTTTTTTGGTTGAAAACCAAATTCCTTTCTTCTATTTTAATCAAAACACTTACAAATTCAAGTTTTAGCGTTTCAATGATCACATTAATAATTTTATTATAATCTCTTGTACCAACTCAAAAATGTTTAATTTTCTACGACCTCTTATATGTAATGTAAAAATGCATTAAACAAAGTCTCGTTTATAATAAATGTCTTCTTAGATTAGAGTTTAAACCATTTGACCCTTAAGCTGAATGACCGGTGGACATTACAAAGGAAGATTAATATAAAATAAACCAAACCCTTCGTCAATGTCAATTTCAAATCTCAATCAACTTAGATACAAATCCGTTAACTTCATTTTTTGTTTTTTTTTTCCTTTGAGTTTGTCCCTCTAGTGCTTACATTCATCCTAAATTTTGTTTAACCGGCTAATCCTACGAGGTTTGTTCGCATGTTTGTAAAGAAAAATCAATAATAATGATAATATAAAATATAAAATTTATAATGAGTCACATTATTTTCAAGACATACAAAGTATATGATCTATTCAAATCTTGTAATGCAAGAAAAATTTGTCTAGCTATATTTTTAACAACGTAAATATTAAAAAAATGAAGATAATTAATCTTGAAATTTACGTTGTAATTTTTTTAAACAATAAAGTTATTCACTTATTATCGAATTTTACGAGACTTATCGTTACATTTTAATAAGTAATTGTTAAGTTCAGGGAAATAACTACAAATTCATTTAGAATTACTGCTATTATGAAATTCTAAAATTTATTAAATATTTCATAAAATCTATTGATAAGCTCTTAAAATTTGATCATAACTTTTATTATGTATTGTATATATTCACGATATTTGAGTTGTTCTTAATTAGACTTTTATTACCTAAATATTTGTGCTCTTAATTTATGAACAGTACTGTGACTTGTTACAATTTACAAATTTTATGTTCTATATTTATTGGTACTAATTAATTAGCGAGGACATCCTGTATTTACAGGAAGTTCGATATGAGTTACACTATTTATAATAAAAAATACTTTCACAAAGTGCGTGGTTTCGAACAACATTGTTAAACTAATATTATTAATATTGATTTATCTTAATTTATTTTGATTAAAAAGTGGACTAATAGATTTTATGCTTATCATCATCATAAATCAATTAATATTTATGTATGTGTATGTGATACAGTTATAAATCGCTTGACCTTTAGTTTAACCCCGACCGTTGTGTTGAACAAAAAGGCAAGGAATCCAATGATGAGTGTGATGTTAATAATAATTTGATGATGATCTTCTAGAAAGAGGGTGCATGTTCAGTTCATAAAAAAACTATTCGTCGAGTTTTTATTTTAAATACAAAGAATGTATTATTGTGTTTTGGATTTAAATTTGAGCTAAATCTATTATTTAGGTAACTAAAATGTGTATCTCAATCCTTTTATAATTTTAAATTTTTTTTAAACATCTATTATTTTAAATTTTTATTAAAGTCTTTTTCTTTTTTTGCGCTTGTTCATTGCCTTCACTACTTTCTCATTTTCAACTTTGTTGCCTTTGATTTACTTCCACCAAAACCAAACTAACAATGTCAATTGAGATTGAAACACCGGCACCAAAGGGATCGAATTGCCAGCACCTACCTATACTAGACCATTGACTTTGATTGAAAATTGGACCATCGGCACTAATTAGCATTAGGTGGCCAACTTCAACTAGGATTAGACGATAAACTTAAATCGAAACTCGACTGTTGAAGTCAATTGGAACTGCACGATTAACTTCAATCGAGATGGGATCTTCGGCTCCAACCCGGGCCAAAATTGAACCACCATGGCTACCAAGGACTAGATCGCTATTGTTGATTGGGACTGGGCCACCAGTGCTGACTGGGATTAGACAGCAAGACTCCCATTGTCCTTCTTCTAAGAGACATCATTGCAACCTCTTTTACTTTTTATCTCATCTGGATTTTTTTCCCCCTATTTGCTAATTTCACAGTAAACTTCCCATTAATCGCCCATTCCCTTTGAGGTACATCCTTGATGAATTTGAAGTAATCCTTGATGATGATGATAAAAAGGATAAAATCCTGCAAAATCCTTTATCCTTTTTTTTTTTTTGGCCAATCTACAAATTCCATAATTAGTACAACAAATTCCATAATTAGTACAACGTAGGCGGGATAAGTTGATATGGAGTAGGGGCAAAAGGGGCAATTATGAAGGGTGCTTTTGGATTTCAATTCCTAATGTGATTTTTTTATTATTATAATTGTTTATGTTTTGACATGATTACATTTGGATATTATATTCTAAAATTGATTTAGATAAAATTAAAGATATTTGGGTAGTTTTAATTAAAATAAATTTTAAGTGTGTAAATTATCATAAAAAACATTGCTTTTGAAAATGTAAAAATGGATAAAATTGCATATATTATTATTAAGCTTGTTGAACTCTATTTAGCTATTCTTATTTATAATGAAACCTTTATGTATTTTTATTCATGAAATAATATATTTTATGGTTCTTCTTAAAGTTTTTTTATATCTAATTGTTTCTCCGTATTTTTATGTCATTCTCTTACATCTACTACATGTAGTTATTTTCATAAGCAGCTTATAATAACTTCTCAATTTATTTAAAATATTTGTTATATTTAGATTTATTTTTAAAAGTTTGAATAAATATGGGAAGTATTTTTAAACGTAATTTTTTTTTTCAAGAAATACATATTTTTTTCATGGAAGAAAAGCTTAAACCAATAGGACTAACAAATCAAATTTCTTTTGTTTTATTAGAAATGAATATAACGTAAATCAATATCTGGTATAAAAATACGCCATGAAGGAGCTTTAAAAATACAAACGTTTTCAATTTATATAAACTCTAGTCTTCCACCCGTTTAATGCGGGCAATCTTATATGAGAACAATTATTTTGATTTGAAAAATATATTATAAAATTAAGTTCTATCAAATTGAATTGTAAAAAAAAATATTCTATTTTTATTTTAATTTTCATCATTAACACTCAAAGCCCTCATGTGACAGTCATTATTATTGAGATTGCATTTTACTAGAGCTATCAATTGACGAGCTAGTCATTTTAAAACTGAAAAAAATCGAAAGTTCAAGCCTTACTTTAAAGTGTAAAATAATAAATTAAGTTGAAAAAGATTGATCCTTTTAAACTCAAAAATAAAATAGCTTGCTCTTTAGGGCTAAAGCTGATCCTTTTAGGCCTTTTTATATGTGTTTTTAAAAAATTTTAATGTAAAGAAATAAACACTGTTCTAAAAGAATACCCTAGCTGCTAATGAGGCTCCATAGAAAGAAAGATTAAATTATATTGATATTAATAATAATAAAAATTATTAACATTTAGCTAATGATACTAGCAAAGTTTAATTGTTATGGAGGTTGATTTTTGAATGGTGCTATTTTTTTCATCAAAGGAATGTTGCTATTTTTTATTGAACTTACATTTGTTATCGTGGGAATTAATTTATATTTGTTTATCTAAACTCAATGTGATATTTAATAATTTTTTTAAAAATTTTAAGTATTTTTTTATATTTTTAATTTGAAAAATAAAAAATAATAAGGTCAGGACCCTTCAAGTTGGCCCTTCAGTCTTGAAGGCTAAGGCTAGGGTCAGGCTATGCAAAATAAACTCTTAAGACATAATTAGACTTAAATGGTCATCCTTAATTGACAACTCTACATTTTACCAACATTCAACAATTTTTTTAGCATAAAAATAAGTGAATTAATCAAATAATATACAAGGATAATAATATAATATCTTTTATAAATTATAAATCTTAAGCAAATAACCGTATCATGTACAATATTCATTGCACCATACAATACTTTGATAATATAAATAGTGCTAAAATATGCAAACTCATGCTCGCAATGACAAAATAAAAATTATTCTAAATACCATCATTTTACTTAATAATAAACTAAATGCATTTGCATTTGACTTAGGATTGGCACACTAATCTTCCATAGAAGATTATTTAATCAAAGGACAAAAAAAATATCCTCTAAACACTTCCAAATATGTGCACCCTAATTCCCTTGTTTCATAAAAATTCCTCGCAATTATGATAGACTACATTTTACCCAGTGAACTACTCATTTATAAGTAAAGCCAGAAAGAATGAATAGTCCAAAACCAATATACAAGAATTCATTCAAAACCTATAATGTTAATAAATTTATTTACAGGAAAATCTATCCCTATATACCCAGATTACCAAGCAAAACAATGCCTTCAAAGAACACATCACAAAAAAAAAAAAAAAGATGTAGATTTAATTGGCAATCCATAATTCCACATAACAGAAAAGCTATTGCCAATGCCTTTACACTCTCATGCGAAACTGCATTTATTAAACTACATGTAAGGGGAATATGCATTTGATAAGTCTGAATGTTAAAAATCTGAGCATAAAATAAGATATCGAACGCCAATAAACATAAAAGAATTATAGGTAGGTTAAATAAAGAAAGGGCATAGCCCCATTAGTTGACCATATCCATCAAGAGTGCATCCATAATGCCATATCCTGACCTTCTCACCTCACTAATTTTCTTTAGGACAGAATTCGGTAAAAACCCATACAACTTGTTCCTATCTCATGCACTTCAAGGGGCGATGTAATTTGTAACCAGCGCTTCTAATTCTTTTGTGGGCTCTACTATACTAACATGCTTAATGAGCTCACCATGGTGGCTATGACAAGAGTACATTCATAATTGGAGTTGAAAAATAAACAAACTTAGTCCATATGAGTTTTGCCTTTATGGGCTCAGCCCTTAAGGGCTCGGGCTTTTAAGCTCAATTTTTTTAAAATATCTTATTATTTGCCCTTATATAAAAGGTTCAGAGCCAGGCTCGTAAGTCCTTATTATTATTTTTTTATTTTTTAAAATTTTTAAAAATTAAAATTTTTAATTATAATATTTCACATATTTTTAAAAATACAAATTATAATATTTAAAAATTAAAAATAAATAATAAATAATTTAATTTTAAAGTATAAACATCTATTTTAAAGTTTAAATTTAATTTAAAAATTTAAAATATTTTATTTTTTAAGGGAAAAATAAAAACAACTCTAAAATGGCCGCCTAAGACCGAAATCATTTTTTCAGAGCTTATCAAGGTCAAGTTTGAAAGTCCAATTTTTTTAAAAAATGTCAATTTTTCAAGCTCAAACCCTTATAAAAATGAGTTTAAATGGGTGGCCTTTCAAGCTTGGCCTTTATTCCTGACTTTATCCATAATATCATATCTTGGCCTTCTCCCCTCACTAATTTTCTCTAGGATAGAATTCACTAAAAACCCATAGAACTTGTTCCTCTCTCATGCACTTGAAGGGGTAACATAATTTGTAACTAGCGCTTCTAATTCTTCTGTGGGCTCTACCATACCAACATGCTTAATTCGCTCATCGTGGTGGGGTAACCAAAAATCTTGTCATGACCGTATTTTTCTCCCATCACCAAACCGCCATGACAAACTCTTCACTGTCTCTCTCAATTCCCTTCCAAGTTCTCGACCTCACGTTGTGCTTTAACAGTTGGAAGAATATCCTTACCACACTTCTACTTCACAGGCATATTATCATACATTATTTGTAACAAGTAATAATATGTGATGTCTTGTAAATAAAACTCTATTATTCCCTTCCCTACACGGTGTGCGAACCTGACCTTACTTTCATATCAACCTTCCATTCTTGACTTATCTGTGAACCTTGCATGTACAAAACCCCTTTGTCTTTCCAAGCAACTTTTAAAACTACAATCTTTTTTTTTTTTTTTAACTGATCCGTTTATACTTTATTATAGACCATGCAAAATGAATTTTTTAAGCAAAGTATTTTTTATTTGATTTGAAAGAAAGGCACACACAACAGCATATAGCATAGAGGAGGCAATGGCCCCCACTAGAAAAATAAAAATTTTACCTAAACTTTAATTAAAACTACACTTGCCTCTGCTTTAAAATGATTGCCCCATACTCTCTTTAAAATTACCAAGCATATATATTTAAAAAATTTACTATAAAAATAAATTTTTGATGCAAATGACAGTAATATATATTTTCAAAATTATCATATATTTTATTTATATATTATTTTTATTAATATTTAAAATTATATTTTTTTCAAAATAATTAATATTTATAATTAGTATTAATTTTACCCTATCTAATAAATTTTTCTGGGTCCATCACTAGGCACACGGCACAATGTAAAGTACTCCAAAAGAGATACATAGGCGTTACAATTTGAAGCGTGTACAAGAAGAGACATGTAACATTCTTACGTAACTTTCCTCCTACTTTTATATAATAATAATAATAATAATAATAATAATAATAGTAATAATAATTTTGATTCTATGATACATTGAAGAGACATCAATATTTTGGCAGTGACTTATTAATACTTTATAGATTCTCGACAGGTTCCACTCTTTTAAGCGCTAATTACATTGATCTCTACAAATTATTGTTGAAAAGTTACCAGGATCTCTCAATACTTGAAATTATGAATTACAAAAAGAGTAATTTAATTGCCTAGTGAATTAACGAAAACAAATACTACCTGCTACAATGTGAAATAGCTTATTTTCAAATTTTTCATAAAAACATTAGTGCTTTCTTTTTCTTGTAAACATCATTTTATTATAAAAAAAATATAAAAACATTATTTCTTTTTTGGATGTAATGTTGTATTGGACATATATATAGCAACACTTAATGGGAGAAAACACATGAAAAGGCTTCAGCCTCATGCCCATCCACGCAGAGTTCTCTATATCGGGAGCAAAACAGCTTGTTGATCAGCAAACAAACATCAAATATTTAATCCAATACTGTCAAAACGTTCTTATCTTCATCTTTGAACGTCATAATAAGCGAATGACTACAGTATATTTAGAAAGAGATATTGGGGCAAAAGGATTAGTGTTAAAATTTAACGTGGATTTCATAGACAGTGGCATTATTTTGTATCGAGATCTCTTTCTGAATGTAGAAATGTAAATAACTCAATTTGAAAAGTTTTAAATCAAGATTATGGAAGAAGAGGGGCTTACATTTCTTGTGCTTGAGATGCCAATGGATGTTTACAGCTAGCTTGTTTGGCTGTTTCTACTGCAAGGTTTAAGTCTTTAGCCTGCATCTCATTAACACAATTTAGGGGGCGTGTTCAACACCCTCGAGATCGATCTGCACTCTACAGCCAATATTTATACATATATATATATATAGAGAGAGAGAGAGAGAGACTTAGCTACTTAGCCTTATAAATTTAATATACTTTTCTACAATCAAATTATTACATGTCTTAGATGCCTGATAACAAGACCAAGCCAACACTAAAATGACGCCCCTGCTGTATCAACTGCAAGTGGATAACATACATCTAATACTAACACAAACAAAATTGTTCCAAATAAAAATTTTCAATATGAATAGATTTTCACAATTCACAATCAGCAAACGAACAAAAAATAAAAATAAAAAATTAATGTAACAATGAATGAATTTATCTGTTCCAAAATATCATAATTAATATAATTTCTCAAACTGAACTTTTTTGATAAGATTCATAAAGAAGACCATACAAGCAGCATTTACAGCATTGATTTTATTTTATTTGGCCAACAGCATCGAAAAGTTTGAAGTTCAATTTCAAAGATCTAACTTACAGAATCACCTTCTGCTCCTCCACAATATATTGCACTTTTACCCATTGAAAGGGATAAGGTTTTCGCAGCCAAAAAAGCTTCCTCAGAGCCACCTACCTGAGAAAAATCCATTTCTGGTTCATACAACAACAACAAGCCTTTATCCCACTAGGTGGGGTCGGCTACATGGATTGCAAGACGCCATTGTGCTCTATCATTTATTACAATCCATTTCTGGTTCATAAATTAGGTTTTTCCAAAACGCAATAACTTTGCTTCAAAGGATTTAGTACTATTACCCTAATACCCATATATCAATTTTGATTTATCCCATAACATGCATCATGCTTGTTTAGCTTATCAAAGTTCTAAGGCACAATAAATATATCAGTTCTTAATATTAAATTTCATAACCAATATGCTAAATATATTGTCCCTAAAAAGAATGAGAATAAAAAAAAGTTTCTTAAAGAATATTTTTTTGAGATCCCAGATGCATTAGAAATTATAACTGAGCAGTATCCCATACCATAAAAGTTAGTGTTCCAGGCTTCCAGCTTCTGCAGCAATCACACTTCCAGATACAGGAGCGTCCAACTTGATGGGAGTCTTCCCATCACCGGTGCATAATCATTTAAACCCCCCCACCCCAAACAAAAGAAAGGAGACCAACTCAGCATGCTAAAACTTAGAAAGCAGTTCATATACAACAGGAGGATGTTAGGAAACCCCTTCTATCCAGAAAGAAAAATTCACATCATCAAAGAGCCTACTGGCCCTTTTTGAAACAAGACTTACTTTCAAATAGTATGTTAGAAAATATTGCTTAAAAGTACCCCAAAAAAAAAAAGTAATGATATATCATTGATATCAATTACACCTTATCCTGATCCAGTGGCAAGAGGCATTTTCATTCAATGACTAGGCTATTGCATGCCATGCCAGATAGAAATTAATTTCATTTTTTCACGCGTCATGACCAATTGACCATATAAATTGAAGAACTATCAGCTAAAACGAAAACTACTTTGTTCAAGTAACACGCTGTCACACAATATCCCGGATCACTTAGGTGACTTGATGCAGAGTAGAAATTTGGACCCATTTTTATGAGGAAAAAGGAGTGTAACAAGTAGAAATTACACTAAATATCTGCATCATATCATTTATGAAATCTAACAATTCGCCAGTTGTCAGAGTGCTCCAGTGAGGCAAATAAACTTTGTCAGCTTAATAAATCAACTCCAGAAGATGCAACCAGAAGAGCTTTACATAAAAATAGTAGAGAGTTTAAATATGCACCATAATCAAAGAAGCAAGTTCTAGTGACCTAATACTAAAGATGACAGTAGGGTTGGGTAGGGAGCAACAAATAATGGACATCCTGATGAGACAGGGTATGAAGTAGAACTTTGAAGAGCACTATAAAACTCCTCTCATGGTCGTATACTCCTGCCCCTGCCCCTGCCCCCCGGGTATGAATTATACAATCGAAGTATAGATATAGCCACAAATACTCCCACAAAATCGGCAAACCATTTCTCATGAGAAAAAAATTAATTATTGACATGGTAAATAAAATATATGGAGCAGGAAAAACATGAAAACAGCTTTAAGGTCAACAATATTTCATTTAATGGTACCTTTCTTTTATTTTAAAAGACAATTATATATTGCAACAGAAAGGCTTCTTGATGATTGTGGATGAATCAATCAATAACCATGGCCGTAGGACCCTCCCAGCTTGAAGCAAACCATTTGATCCAGTGTAAACATCAATCACCTACTTAATTTAGATTAGTGTGTTATTCTGGAGTTAGTACACAGTCAAAGGTAAGAAGATCAACAGCAATAAGACAATTCTCCAAATTTGTTATATTCTAACTGAGAATCTTATGTACACAGCTTAGAAGCAGATCAGCATTCACATTGATAAAGTTTTGCAGTTTGTGGCTTGCACAACCAAATAGATGCCACATTGAATATAAAGCTAAATGACATTTAAAATATCGAAGTATTGCTCAAAAGGTCAAAAAGTTTTTCAGAAATGCTGAACAAACTGAAGAGTCTTCATGGAGTCAACACATAAGCAAATGGCCCACTGTTTTTGCAGAAAACGAAATGCCATTGGTATGATTGTACTCACATGGGTCGAAGAAGGCAACATTGTAATTACTACATCCACATCACACACTTCTGCAACTTCATAAGGTGTTTTCATAGGGGGAAATCCCATCTAAGAGAACTTGTCGGTAACATCAGAGTTTCTGCAATATTTTCAAATTTGATAAACATCATATAAAGATATTCTCTATAGATCAACAAGGATTGAATAGCCTACTTAAATGAACAGCAAGTTTGTGCTTTCCCCATGATCAATAAAACAATTCAATAAATAAAGAGCATAAAACAGTTTAAATTAAGTACAAGTCTTGAACTGTAACTCAGCATCCAAATCAGGTTATACGCCACTCTGTATCCCATATTTCCAACACCAATGAATAAACATTCTGTAATGCATCATTAAGAGGATAAATATTGAAATTTTCAGAATATGCATCCTTGAGTAATAAATATTACAGTAGATGCCTCATTCATCATAGTAAACTCCACCACGAATGCTCCAACACCATATATTTAATATAGTTGGAAAACTATCGATGATCTATCAAACATTGTACAAGTACCTTACGCATTTATCTTTGAGGCCATTTAGAACCAAACAAAAAAAAAAAAAAAGACAAAAGACAGAAGATAGATATACTAATGCAAGTGCAATTGATGGAAAAAAAAATCTGTCGAATCTTATATTGTAGGTGACACTGTTCATCTTATCCTGACGGATGAGAAAGGCAATCCCAGTTCCAAGAGTACCTTCCAATCTTCTTATCGCATTAGCCATCAACTTCATTTCTTGTGCTTGCTTATCTCAAAGGCTCACGAGTTCTCCAATGTACCTCCTCTCTGCAAAGTATAAAACCAGACGTGGCAGCAAAAAGAATTCACAACTCAAAAACAAAGATGTCAAGTTAATGCGGAACCACAAAAGCAAGTCTAGAAAACTATTAACCTAATTAATGTTGAATCAAAGTCACGTTCACTTTGTGAAATCAGCATTCCCTGGCTTGCTTTTGCCACATCTGCAGCTACAGCACCAGCTTTTGCAGCTAGTGCTGTTTCTTCTGCCAGAGACGGTTTTGAGACCATCTCCTTCAATGGTCCATCATCTTCTAATACAACCTGCATATCCAAGATTTTAATCGAGGAATAATCAAATTCTATAAGAGTCACTGTAACAGATTGCCTCAGATGCTCATCAACTGGAATCTCCAACCCAAAAAATAACCAAGGTTGAAAGTTTCAACATAAATGGCACCCAAGAAAGGGAAAAGCGTAATTGGTTCTAAAATTAACGAAATTATATAATGGCTACAGAAAATCATGTTTAGTATTATGAGTAGCTTTGATCAAGTATAGTGAAAGAACACAGCTTCAAATCTAAATCTAATCATGAATCTTTCCTCATACAAATTACAAAAATAAAAGAACAATTAGCAGCATGCCAAGATTTATTTAAAAAAAATCAGAAAAAATAGAATGTAAAGAAAGATGTCAACTAATTTACAAGCTTAGTCTGTCACACACAACTAACATTATGTTTCTCATGTTTTTGAGACCTTTTTTGCTCACTGTTTTCTCATTTCAATTTAAGAAAAAATGTTGGCTATTGAACAGTTATAGAAATATAAGCGTTAGTTCATAGCAGAAGTTACAGAAACCTGGATTTAAATCCATGGGCAGACATTTTAATAGTACTCACGAAGCACTTCTAGAATCACTAATACCGATGAAATGATATGATTGGTCACCAATCTTTTTTCATTCATACTGCTTTCTGACTTTTCTCCCATGCTGAAATAATTGATAACTTCTTGAGTGCTCTGCTCAAAAGCCTGGCTTATAGAAAGTAGCACAATTCAGTGAAGGTTGATATCTAAAAATAACAAACTGAGACAAAACTTATAAGGTTACTGCAATATCTTGAAAGCAAATTCATCTTAGCCACCAATAAACACCTACAAATATAAATTCAAAATAACGGATGGAGGTTTCAAAGAAATTGAACAAAAATAGTAAATATAAAGAAATTTAAGTCACCCTTATCTTCTCTGTTCACTCTATAAAACCAAGCTATTTATATCCCTGATTATTACAAATAACCACTGGCCAAGTTTCAATTACTTTCAAAATGAAGAAAATTAAATACCAAAATATAAGAGTGATATTACAAGCCCCTTTCAAGGTTTGACCATAGTTCGTGAAATAGAAATGAATAAATGCAAAACAGAATTAAAACCAGACACTGATGCAAAAGTCAAGAATAACACAACAAATATAAAAAAATATAAAAAGAACACATATATCAACTAATATAAAAGTTCAGACAGATTAGAGCTGGAATAAGACAATGCATAAATCTGAAACAGACCTTATTAGATCAAAGATCTACATCAGTTAGAAGATCTACCAAGTTGATCAATAACTATCATAACGCTCACCTCTAGCTGATTCACCTTTATGTTCTCCCAGATAAGCCTCAAAGAAGTATTGTGCTAATTCCTTTCCAGCAGTGCCAAAGAAGTTAGTGAAGATAATTTAGTATGAAAGAAGTTAGCAATGTGTACCTTTAGTGCACATAAGTAACGTTTTGATTCCCTTTGTGCTTTGATTGACCTTTATTTACCCCCACATATATTGACCTTTATGTACTGATTCCCTTCCAATAGTGCCAAAGTTAGCAAGCGTATTGGTGATATAATAACAAAGAACAAATCAGAGTTAGCATTTTGTGTTTCTGACTCGGCATCTGCCTTCTGCTTATTTCGGAATGGCTGTTCTGGAAGTGAAAAAAAAAAGGGGAAAAAAATGAAGATTTCAAATAGTGCCCTAAAGCACAATTTCATGAATATATCTCCATAATCTTGCAACCTACTTGTTGGTGCCAGGTCACTTGGCCAACCTCTGCACGTTAGCATTTAAACCAATTATAACAGCATATTTGTAGGGCAAGATATTCCAAGAAATTACCGATATTCAATGGATTCATAGAAGAGCTTTCTTGCTGCCATCTATCAAATAACCAAGGAAATGAAAATAAATCGCAAATGACAATGCTATATTGAAACAGAAATAAATCACGCCAAAGGACTTAAATTAGAAGGGAGAAGGTACAAACTGGGCAACGAAAACTGAGCCGGTTGAACTAATCAAGGAGAATCAAACTTGGCAACCACTACATGACTTCTTCTCCAGCAAAATACATGATCATCAAGGAGAACCAAATAGCTTAAAATCACTATGATTGTCCCCTGAAGAGATTCGCCACATAAAATCACTATGCAGACCCATCATCTGTTGCAGCAAACCGAGGGTATTCCGATAATTTCACTGGGCACAACACAGTGGGGTCCAACCAAGGAATGTGTATGATGGCATTTTTGAAAATCCACAGTTCATCTACCGTAGCCGTTGAGCAGTGGCAGTTATTGAATCGTTAGTTATTTATTATATTGATGTTCAATATTATAGTCACCCGAAACTCAGCTCAGGTATGGTGAATAACGCAACAATGGACACTCGAGAAAGAAGTTTGCAGCTCCAATAATGGAAGTGACTAAAGATGTATGAAGTATGCAAAAAAGATAATTAATAAATAATTTCATGGAGGTTAAAGCACCTTTTGAATATCAGACATGATGATCAATCGTTGCACTTGTTTCAAAGGTAAGTGGTAACTACCAAAATCAAAGATTTAATATACATGCAAGAAGTATACAAAGCAGAGAACAGTCTACAAAGAAAATCCCAGTATCAATCAAAACTGTTCATGCTATTCGCACCAGAACCTTGTTCTTTTTGCCTGCAGATAAAAGTAGCACTTTTCCATCTACTATATCTACAGCCTCTATTCTCTTGTCTTCCTTGTTTACTCGGTTATTGTTCAAGTAAATGCCTCCTTGTTTTAACAGTCGTCGCGCTGCAGATTTGCTGTCAAACAAACCAGCAGACACTGAAAGATCCACCAAAGAGATGTTCAAAACCTTATCGTATGCTAAAGAGCAAGAGGGTACATCCTCAGCAATCCCTTCAATAGTTTTCCAGTCCAACTTTGTCTGAGATCCTGGCCTCAAGGCTTCTGTTGCCTTAAGAGCTTCACTTAAGCCATCTTCCCCATGAACAAAACGGGTAACTTCTTCAGCAAGCCTCCGCTGAATGGTATTAGGCACATAACCAGGTTTTGTCATCTCTCTCTCCAATGCGTCTATCTCTTCAATATCCAAAAAAGTAAGAATTTTCATAAACCTGATCACGTCAGCATCCGGGACAGAGAAAAAATACTGGTAGAATTTGTAAGGAGACAAGAAGGAAGGGGATAACCAAACAGCGCCATCCTCTGATTTACCAAATTTGGTACCATCGCTTTTCAAGAGAAGAGGAAATGTCAAGCCATAGGCACCCTCGGCCTGTAATATTTTTCGAATTAACTCAGTCCCAGCAGTTATGTTACCCCACTGATCACTACCCCCAATTTGAACATTAACACCTTCGTTTTGGAACAAATATAAGAAATCATAGCCCTGCAACAACTGGTAAGTGAAATCTGTATAGCTCATTCCTTGTTCCGATTCCAACCTCTTCCTCACACTTTCTTTAGCCATCATTGAACCCACCCTGGCATATCGTCCCACTCGTTTCAGAAAATCCAGCAAACTAAACTCCTTCCACCAATCGTAGTTATTCAAAATCACAAGGGAAGAATCGTCGAGATTGACATTCGCAATCAAGTAGTTATTTTGAGCATCACCTAGAATTCTTCTTATAGTGTTGCCAATACCCGCCGTGTTCTTCTCCAGAGTATCGACATCAAGTTCAGGTCTCTCGAGGGCCTTCCCAGACGGGTCCCCGATACGAGCGGTGGCGCCTCCGATCAAAGCAACAGCTTTATGGCCGCACCGGCGGAACCAAGAGAGCACGATGAGTCCAAGAAGGTTACCCAAGTGTAAGCTCTCAGCCGTGGGGTCAAAACCACAATAGACCTTGAGAGGTCCAGAAGCAGGGTCTGAACAAGCTGTTCTGAGAGCATCGCTGGTGAGGGACTCAAGTAGGCCTCTTTCTTCGAGGACGTCGACGACATTGCGGCGAAGAACTCGATGGTGTTGCTGAGGGTCAGAGGGAGAATGCGAGATCTGGAGACTGCAGGTGGCTCTGGTGAAATGGAGACGAATGGAAGTAGAGAAATTGGAAGAGAGGGAAGAAGAAGCTTTGAAGGGAAAGAGAAAGAGCTTGGTCGGATGGGAGAAGAGAAGGGCCCTCGAAGCCGAAATGGAGGCCATTTCGCTTCGCTGCCTGATGTTGGGGATTGGGATATGTCATGACTCATGAGTGCTCTCCACAACAAAGGAGTGAAGAGGGCAAGGCGTGGTTGATTTTTTTTTTTTTTTTCCTAAGTGAAATTTTTTTTTTATTTGATCCCCCAATCTTCCTCGTTGATCGGCCTCAGGCACTCAAGCTCGACACTCCAGAGTAATTGATTCAAGTTTCTTGACGTTTAACGAACCGCTCCTCGGTTAAACAAAATAATTTTATTTTGTTCGATTTTATTTATAAATTATTTTTAATTATTTTATTAAATTTATAAATTAATTCAATTATTGATGTTATCTAAAAAAGTAAAATTTTCAAATTATACTCAATAAATGCATTATTTTTAAGAACATTTCTCTCTCATGTAGCTTTTTGCTTTCTATTTATCAAAAATTATAATTAGATCCTCCCTCTGGTTTTATTTACAGAGCAAAAAGCAAAAAAAAAAATTTAATTTTATTTATAAATCACGTTATTAAATTTTCATCATAAATATCTTTTTTTACCTTCATTGAATGTTGAAGAGATAAAATATGTTATTGAAGTGTGTATATTTATTAGAATCAAAGTTGAAAACTTATTAAATTTTTAAGACAGAGCTAATAAGTTTTAAAGTTTTTTTTTGATAATAATGAAACATATTAAAAGTGACTTATAAATAAGACCAGAGGAGTAAGATGAAAATCAAGGAATCAATGATATAGCATTTTATATAAAGTGACTCATAAAAAAAATCAAGAATTCTGTGAATTTTGTAATATTTTTATTAATTTTACTATATATAAATATCATATAAACAATGATTTCCTATCTACTTTAAAAAAAAATAGCATGTAGATAAATTCACACACTTCCACAATTCTCAGTTAAGTTATAGCTTATTAGTAATTTCTTTTACGTGCAAATAGCTCATGAGTAATGAGTATTTTCTTCTAATTTTGAATAATTTATTTTAGGATTAAGGTACATTTTTACTCTTAAATTTTCTCATAAAAAATAATTTTACCTTTGTACTAATAAATAGGATAATTTTACTTTTAAACTATTTTTTTGAGGAACAAAAAACTTTTTTTGCAAGTTACCTAACGTTCCTTGAAAAAATAGTTCAAAGATAAAATTATCTATTTCTAAATGTATGTTATTTTCACAAATAAGGCATCCAAGTGTTCTTTTGATATTATACCCTGAAAAATTACCATAGACTAAAAAGTAATTTATTGTACCAAATAGAAAGGCTTTTAAATTAAATTTTTCTTCCTTGTAGCCATCTTACACCTCAACACTTATCTCTCACAATAGTTTTATGTCTTTAATTAGAGGAACCGAGTATATATCTATATCATTCTCTAATTATTTTGGCTCTAAAATTAGCATAGACATCATCAAATACTTGTACTTCATGCATAACTACAGAGGCAAGTTATAAATGACCAATATCACTGGCCATATACTATGAATACTATTTTAAAGTCCGTGTGGATTCATTCTATCATAGATGGTGTGAGATATATGTTCCTATATTCCTTTACAAACTCAGGATATTCGTGATCAATCTTTTCCTATTGTTTGATTAGAAAAGGACCGAAGCTTCTTATCTTTAATCCTCTCATCTGCATGCCATGTTAAATGTTTGAATCAACGACGCTGCTATACAAGATCTAAATCTCGATACTATGAAAATGTATCATAATGCCTTATCTAGACTCTTTCAGTTATCCTTATAGCATGATGCATTGCATTTAGGAGATTGAGTTAATGATGCATATTCATTCCTGAACAAAATACAGTTATTATGGCATCCATGTATTGTTATGATATTTGAAGTTGTGTGTCAAATGACAAGTCCCACATTACCTAGGAGAAGAGAGCTCCTAGTTTATATATATACTAGGGAATGAAATGGGCTAGTAAATGAGCTTGGAGAAAAAGTGGGCTTGCATACATGAGACAGATCAACTAGGGCAATTGCAATTAAAAATAGCCGATTCACCCCTTTCCCCGCGCATGAGTCAAAGAGGCACTGGATTTCTTTTACCAGATTAATTTTACAAAAAATAAGTAATTATTTATTTAAATTAGCTTACTAGAAAAATGTTGTTTTTGGCTATTTGAATTTTGAATCTCAACCTTAACCCTTTTTTGGTTTTAAGTATATTCTTAAACTAAATTTATCATTAGCATTTCTTTATTCTCCAATAGCTCCAGACAAGTGCTTAATGAGAAATCATACACTTGGAATCGAAGTTTAATGGTGGATTAATCTAGTAACATCCATGTCCAAGATCTCGACCTATATATAGCTTGCATGTGGACTTAACCATTTTGCGTGGCTCTTGAGTTTTTGAGCTGTTTCCTTCCTCCTCTTTGCTTGGTGTTCTGCTATGTTGTTTGCGTTAATTCTTGTTAGACTCTATTGTTTTGTTGCCTTGCTTATTTGTAGGACGAGCTTATTTAATGCTAGGGAGCTACCGGTCTACCGTATAAGTGTGCCAAAATAATTCGTAAGGATAGTGTCCTTCAGCATAACTCAAGCTTTAGTTTCCTACCTGTCGCCAACATGTATCTTCTCATAACTTTCAAGTTGTACAGTCTTATCATAGTAGTCAATTCTCAAATTTTTGAGAATTAAGTGCAACCTGCACCATTTTTCAACTCTCAAGCATTTTAGGACAGTCTTCAAGTTCATCCTCAATCACATTGGCTATCTCTTCAACATAGTCTACCTCTTTTGTATTTATGTCAAAATCATGTGACATAAATATACTATGACTATTTTTGGTCACATTCTTTGCCTCGCCATGTTTATACCAATAGTTGCAAGTTTGATTAATTCCATGACACACTAAACGGTCTTCCAACTCAATTTTGCTAACCCCAGTTCAAGAGATTATATCTTACACAAGAGCACACAATACTCTTATAGTCATTTTCATGCTCAAAATGCAAACTTAATAAATTCTTTCACTCCATTCAAATATTCCTTTGACACTCAATTTGCATATATCCATATCTTATTCATAATTCTAATCTATTAAAAATTATTTCCAAAAATTTGATTAGTAGTCCAATAATCATATTGGAAGAGTTACAACAACATAAGGAATATTAACTAATTAAACTCATCCATCATTGAGTCATGAGCCACATGCAATATAATCCTTTTTTAAGCTAAATTAAAGTATTAAATGAAAATTTGGAGGCATAATGACTTAAAAATGAAACTTTCTTAGGCACATGCCCTCTATTCATATTTAATTTCATCCTTATTCAATCTAATCAAACATAATTCAACCAAACTCAAATCACAACAATTTAAATACAAGTCAAATTTAATTACTTTTAAACAAAAATTTGATAGTATAATAACTTAAAAATAAGACTTTTCTTGGGCATTTTGCCTTTACTTCACACTAAATTTTATCTCTGTACAATTCAATCTAACTTAATCCAACTCTACTCAGCCATAACAATAACAAAAGGGAGAATTTCAATATACCCTTTACTTGTTTTGCAAAATAACTAGCTGTTAATTTTTTTACTGTACTTGTTAATTTATCAATATTACTTGTAAATTATATCTGTTTGTCAAAAAATTAGGAACATCAGTTATTAATATGTTAACTTTACTTGTTAATTTACTAACACCAATCGTAAATTACTTGACTTGTCAATAATTTATAATTAATGTTAGTAAATTACAAGACCTATTAATAATTTACAATTGGTGTTAGTAAATTAGCAAATAAAGCTAGCAATTTAATAACTAGTATTACTACTTATGATTGAAAAATTAATATTAAGTCTTATATTATTGACACGTCAACTTATGTAATTTGTAACTCATATTTGTAAATTAACAAGTAAAGTAAAAAATTAAAAACTAGTGATTTTACATAATAAATGAAGGGTGTTTTGGTCTTTTCACTATTGAAATTCTTTTGACTTTTCTCCCTTACACTAAACTGAATTTCAAAAAATGTTGAACCTACCTTAAATTAAGTCTCTACAATGATCCTTAATTGAAATTCTCCCATAACAAAATTCACAATACAATAGCCTCAACATATATTAATCCAAATCCTTTGACATCACAATAGCCAATAGGTAGAAAATTCCAACACAAAATCACATAAGTAGAATAAAATGCAAATAAATTCATGTTCTCAACATACAATTGCAGGAAGAATTTAACAAAAAAATTCAAGTTGCACATAATCAAATTTAAACAAAAAAATAATAATAACATCTTTAAAAATTCAATTTTCACTACATAAAATAAAAAAACTATTCTAGCAATCCAAAATCTAAATTATCAACAATAAGTAATTCTTAAGCAATTTAGGTAGAATTGCTCACTAAAACTTCGACACTAATAGGCCACAATACTCTCAATGCACGAGCAGCTATACCTAGATGAAATTTCAGGATTCAAAACTAAAACAAGCGTGGGGGAAGCTTCAAATCACTATGGGAAGTTCAAAAATGCTATATAAAAAAAAGGATAAATTACATCATCCATATGTTAAAATAAGCAAAACCTCACTCACCTGTATGAACTCAAATTGAAGAGGCTGAAGAGCATGAGAAGAGTTCAACTAAATGGAGGATGAGAATGCACAAGAATGGTGGGAGGAGGCCAAAACTAAGGAGGAAAGCTTGAAACGAGAGTGAATTTATCAAAATGGCATGGAGAAATGGTGGGTAGCTCTGATGATGACGTGAAATGGAAGACAATAAATAGTTGTGGATTTGACAGTTGCCCACTTTAACCATCAAATATCTTCCTCTAAATTTGATGGTTCTTAAGCGTAACTGTCAAATAAGTTAAATAATTTTTCTAAAAAAATTATTTTCTTAAATTTGATGGTTTGCCTAAACAATCGTCAGACTTTTTACTTTCAAATTTATTATATTGTCAAATAAGCTCTCCCACCTATTTATATTTGACTTAAACAATCATCAAATATAAGGTATTAAGTATACCCAATTCTGTAGTAGTGAGGTGAAATTATAAGGGCC